TTAATTACTAGTAAGAGCAGTAACAAGGAACATTATCAGGAAGGAAACCAAAACCCAGTCACGGCATACTTAGAGAACTCAAGAATTACACATCTCAATCATGAGTTACGAAAAAACAGTCATCCCTCCAGAGCAAAATAAAGAATTTCCTTGATGATAGAAGAAACTGAAGTAACCAGTTACGACAGTCCCAACCTTGTGAAACACATTCCAAAAGTGTGGAAATCAATTTGCTCAGAAACTCAAACACTACTGTATATCCTAAAATCTCAGGCAGTTTAATTCTTTATCACAGAGTAGTTTCTCAACTTGAACCATGTAGCTCTGATCAATATCATCCCTAATTCATCAATCTATAGTGTTTCAGTGATACATTACCAGCATCCAGGAAAAAAAAGAAAAAAGGGAAGATCAATAAGTGAAAAGAGGAATAATGCAAAGCAAGACTTTTCAACTAATCCTCAAACGTCTCTGTATTTCTGTATTATTAGTGTAATCTCATTTTTTCAAGTATATGTTTTCACGATCAGCTCAAGCAAATATACCACCTTCAACTTAAAACATTCCAAAAATATTCATAGACATGTTCAATTCTTATCACAAAGCTTTAGATAACAATCTCTAAATTTCATAGGACTAGTGCAGGCACAAGCTATGATAAACTCAAGGAATAAAAATAGTACCAACCTACACAGAGAAGAACAAAACATAGAACAAAAATTTCAAATTGGTACCTGACAATCGAGAATGTCTCCGAAGCGGCTAAAAGCTCTTTCAAGGTCTCTATCTGTCACTTCTGGCGATAAACCACCGACAAAAATCCTACTACCTTCTTTTGCAGCCATTTTCACTCGTCTATTCACAGAAAACAAAACAAATTGAGGTAAACGAACAAAAAAATCTCCAACGACTAAACTCGATATTAATTCTAGAATTACACGAATAGATTCATCTTACCTCTCTCTGAATCGTATTGTTTCCTTCGCCTCTCAAAATATCAATGGCACGAAGAAACCCTAAAATGGTGGTGGTTGAGGTACTACGCCACGAGAAAGGTACACTACAAGTGCCTAAAGGCTCTGATGATTAACAACAGAGGCCCAGACCTAGGCCCAAATTTCTCTATGGGCCCTAAGTTTATTCTGTTAAGCTCATGGATCCACCAATGACCGACCAGAAAATAAGTCTTTTCTTTTTTCTGTATACTATAAATACATCCTTTAAGCTTGTAATGAGGCAAAAAAAAAAACAATTATAATTGTAGTTGAGGGTTTTTCCCAATAAGATCTCTTGCCAATTTTTTACTTGAAAATTTGAACATGCATATAAAAATTACATCGAGTATGTTTTAGCTGATCAATATATATTGTTTAGCTTTACAATAAAATAAGATATCAGAAGCTTTATTCCACGTGAGATCCAAGTCACTATGTGTAGATGACCTAATCACGCATTACCTAGCTAATAAACTAACTTTAACCAGCCCACAGTTTTGGAGCAAAACAACCTATAGGATTTGTATATTTATCATCCTAAGACAGAACTCCGACTATCCTGGTACACATTCTTCATTTTTAAGTGTATTTGCACCTAGTAACAAAATTTCTAATGCAAATAAAAAAAAACAGTAATGTAAATAGCACAATTTCTCTCTTCTTCTTTTTTTTCTAAAACGTACGTTTAAACAATTTTACTTTTCATTACAAGACGAATGAATTTTTGTAGCATAATAATTTTTATATATTTCCATACAAATCTTAGGGAGGTATGTGATGGTTTAAGATATCACATATTATTCCGGGCTTTACATGTGTGGCATTATGTATAAAACGGTGCCTTTGCAACATCATGTGGATAATTACTAGCTTAGAAGCATCCATGTTCCCATGTGGACAGATATGTACTTGACTTTACGGTCATTACTTAAGCAAGATAGTTAAATATGGCTTAAAATTTGGAGGTATACAAAATTTGTATGGCCAAAAGGCTTTATGAACGAATTCATAAACTGTAATTGTAGAAATAGTCATCCGCAAATGTACAAGGAAATCGGTTTTGTTTTTCTTTATAGGAAAATTTGTTAAACTAAGTTTCCTTTCGAATTACTAAAATGACTCCCAAGATTCGAGGGAAAGTTTTATAAGAAATGCATATAAGAAAGTTTAATTGTAATTAATACCACTTGGATTATTTAATATAATGATCCAGTTGGTGCTTAAACATTTTTAAACCTAACCAATATTATTTTGTACATTTCGAGAGATTCCAACAAATTAAATAGGTCATATATGACATAGATCTATAATAGTATATACTGTTACACTTTGATTATTTGACCTAATATACCATCTATTTAATGTCATCAAAAAGTTACATCTAAAGATACAAAAAAAATCATATACTAAATTTGTGTAAATAAGATTCTAAAGTATAAAATACAGAGAAATGGAATATAAAACCAAAAATATATATAATCTATGATAATGTGGACAGAGGCAAAGGTACCAGGTTGTCTGCCATGATATGGGTAGATAACTCATCTTCCCAAACAAAATAATTGTGTGCGAAGCTTTTTACTATTGACAAATTTTAATACTTTTAGGAAATTTTTGAGGAACTATCAATTTTGATTATATTTTTACAAAGAATTATAGATGCTAGGGTTTCACGACGTATGTTCTAATATCCTAACCTTTTAGAAAATTAGTGGTGCACGAACCACATGTTAAAAACTTGATTTGATTATGTATATGACCAGGCAGTTATCGTAAATACATTTGAACGTAATTTCATAGTTAAGAGTTTGGAATAAAAATTACAGTCACAATAATGAAAGCCAACATTTTCGTTATATCTCAAGGCTTCTTTATTTTTTTTTATTTTTTTTTTCTCTGTAAACCTTTCATTTTTTCCTCTTCAACGTCAAGTAATATTTATTCTTCTTTCATATAACTAAATTTTATTATACTACTCAATTTTTATTGTTATTTTAAGATAGAATTCACGGATATTTTATCTAGTATCCTGTTATTACTGTTACTGTTTTGACTATTCTTGTTTTTGTTTTGTAAATATAAAAAAGAATTAAATTTATCACCTTTAGGAGAAAAGACATCACTTTCATTGAAAAAAGGAGAAAAATAAGTGGGATCCATGAGAATGAAATGCTTTTTTGTTGTACATGTACGTATAATTTTTGGTTTTTAAAGTGATAATAATTTAGTTGTCTATATGTTTATTAATATAAAGAAGTAAAATAGTAATGCATAGTGGTGTTGATCTCTAATTTTATATAGGCTTGTGGCTTTTGATGATCTTCAGGTGAAAGTGTGGGAGACAAGGAATATCTCCTTCGTCTTGAAGTGTACTATGTTTATCAACTTGCCCACTGCACTTTACGTGTATTCACACTCAGTTCCAAGTCAATTATATATATAAATATGTAACTAATTAATATTAATATGTTATCTAATCCTAATGTTAATCTAATTGGTGGATGTAGTATTAACACTAATGCTCTCCTGGTATCATGAGGAATATTCGACAACGCTTTAGAGGAGCTGGGAGTCGATGATAAATTAAAAACCACAGTGACCAGGAAATTAATAATTGTTTTGTTTGGGGGTGTTTGTTTTGTTTAATGGCTATGTCTTTGAAGTTCTTGTAACACAAACATATTTGTTCTCTTGATTCTTTATTAAAACATATATACACTATCATTTTCACAAAATTAAAGTATTATAATCATTTCAAGATTCTTATTTTTGCAGTATCATATATACTAATCACAATGCTAATTAAATGTTAGCGATGATGAACACATATAACAAACATCGTATTCTTTTTATATATTTTTAAAAACGATATCCGTGATATGTTTTGCTATATAAACATATAGTATAGTGTTTTTCTTTTCCGTATCCATTTGAGAACAAGGGATATTTAGTGTTCGAACAATCAGTTATTTGATATGCTTCGTCAAAAAAAAAAAAAAAAAAAATCATCAACAAAAGAAATATTGTGATATTCATATAAAAATTATGGCCTTAATTAATGATATTTTTATAGATTCATATAGTTATGTGCATATTTATAAAAGCAAACATATATATTATGTCTATATATATCTTTTTGGTCAACAAGTTCATACTGTATATGTTCGAACATATATGTTAATGGGTTATGCATTAGCGGAATTTAATCTACTATTAATATTACTACCATATCCATTAATATTTGGTATTAAGGACTTGTAGGACTCAGATCTTAAACTTCGATATCGATTTAGAGACAATGAACCATAAATATGGTTCGGTCCGGTTCAATTTACCGAAGTCATTGCGTGTCTCTATAAATACCACACTTCACCTTCTTCTTCACTTGCACCTCTCACTCCCTTTCTCTAAAACTAGTCTTGTGTGCACCCATTTATGTGTACGTACTATTATCTCATAAATAAATATTTTTAAAATTAGATGCATTTATTGATATGAAAAAGTTACAAGATTAGTTTGTTGTGTGTGAGACTTTGGATCGACAGATCGAAAAATTAACTAACCGGTCAGTATTGACTATCAACTATTATATGCTCCATGCATTCGCTTATAGTTTCACACAATTTGTTTTCTTCACGGTCTAAAATCAGAAGATTCCATATATTTTCTTATGACGTAAAAGGACCACTTATAAGTTGACACGTCAGCCCTTGGATTCGTGAGGTTTTTCTCTCTACTTCACCTATCTACTTTTCCTCATATCCCACTGCTTTTCTCCTTCTTGTTCTTCTTGTTCTTGTTTTTCTCGTTTTTTTCTTCTTCTTCTCCAAGAAAATAGAGATCGAAAAGATTAGATCTATTTTGTGTAGCAAGAAATTATCATTTTCGTTTCTTCATTCATATATTGTTCTATTATGTTGTACAATAATAGATACTCGATCTCTTGTGCGTGCGTAAATTTTATACAAGTTGTCGGCGGATCCATGGAAGAAAGCTCATCTGTCGTTGTTTGTAGGCGCAGCACCATTAAGATTCACATGGAAATTGATAAATACCCTAAATTAGGGTTTTGATATGTATATGAGAATCTTGATGATGCTGCATCAACAATCGACGGCTACAAATACCTAAAGCTTGAGAAAGAAACTTGAAGATATTGATTGAAGTCTGGATCGATCTTTGGTAAATCTCTCTCTTGATTAGTTTTAAGAATCACTTTTTTTTTTCTGTGTTTGAACATGTTTACATATATCATCTATGTCTCAATATATATATTTTCTTAATCTAGGGTCAATGACGGATTAGGGCGTTAATTACAATGAATATGGAAAAACTATTTTGCCTTTGATCTTGACTTGAGTGTTGATGAACAGATGTATAATGTTATGTAGTATGTACTGTATTTTTTCTAGAATCATTCTTTAGTCTCCAACTCTCCATTAATCAAATGAGGTCCTTATAGGTAATGCTATGATCAAGAACAACAAGATCGTGAGCACAGATCGGCCAGTTCGGTCACTTTTTAAAAGAGAGATGTTATATTGTTAATTTGTTATTATCAGGTATAATAAATACAGAAAAGTTCGTCCAGAGACCAGACATTTTATAGTTTCAATTTTATGACAGTCTTGTAATAATATTTGTTTAATAGTGTGTCACCTTCTATTTCTGGGTTATTACTTGGTCCCGAAATTTTCTTATTGTTCTAATTTTGTAATATTAGAAATTTGGTTTTCTTGCCAAATCAAATCAAACATTACGGTGTGTTGTACATTGTACCAGAACTTTTGTTTTCAAGTGCTCAACTTGAGAACCATTTGTCTCTTCTCTTCGTTTCGATTTAAATATCTATTTCTGAATTACAAATAAGAAGATACCATGTGGACACATTTTCGCTATTATTGGTGAGTTCGTGAACAAGAGAGTAAAGTTTGTAGAACAAAAAGGAATTGAGTAAGTACACTTCTATTGGTGAGTTCATGAACAAGAAAGGTAGGTGGAGATATATATGCAATGTTTGTATACCATATAATTAAATGGTAGACTCTATTACAATGAAAACCAAAAGGTTAGTCCAAACTTCAATACACTATACATAATATGTGATGCAACATTTCATTAATGGTTGATGCAATCTGACGCAATCATCTACAAGTAATTCTGAGAAGAGGTGTACACTACTTTTTTTATCTGTACAACGAAGTATGTGATTTGTCTTAGCTACGTAAGTGGGTTTGTCTTTATTTTGTGCCAAAACTTCGTCAGAACATTGAGTTTTAATAGTGTCACATAAAATTTCCATACATTAATAATTAGATATCCATTGTTTAATAATTAGATATCCATTGTGTGTTTCTTAAAGTGATGTTAAAGTTTATTATGCACGTTTTATGAGAAGTACTTAGTTATGCAAAATTTTATTTTTTGGTAACAACAAATGATCGTTTTTAGTTGTTACCCTTGTTTTTACTAAGAAATTCTATATCTTAATTAATTCCCTAAACAGTTTGAGCAGTGAATGAAAATAAGTTGTATTAGTTTGTTTTTGTCCAGTTCTCATGGTTATTATATTGATAAAGCAATAATGATAAGTATATATAAGACATTCCATAGATTTTCTTGATATATGCATTGTGTATCAAAACACTAATTACACGGAATGAATATATTGGTCATGCATAAACTTATAGGAAAACTGCCATATGATTCCAAAAAGAAATTAAGTTAAGGAAGAATTGCCCCCACAGAAATCCATTGTAGAGATGGAGAAGGGAGAATCTAAAGATATTGTGTCAGGTTGGGGCCAGCAATTTAAGACAACTTTGAGTGATTGTTTTGTCCTTAATTTGGCATAACTTATGAAAGGCAAATTAAATAGCAAGAGTAAACTGTCAATGAGTTGGTGGTCATTTGGGATTCGGATCATCACAATATAATCTGAGTTATTGATCTCAGCAGTAACTTTGTGTGTGTTAGTTGTCCCGTAAACTTAAATTTACCAATAATTATTTTTTAAGATTTGCTTAACAAATTCGGTTGAGATTATTAATCCTAAACACTTTAAAAATGAGGTCTTTTCCACAACTTAGTAGGAGTTATATAGTCTGAACCAAAAATGAGTGGTCCAAAGGCAGATATCGGATGATGAAAGTTTTCTAAATGGATTTAGATTAGGAGAACTCTCAAGTCCCAACTCACAAGCAGTTTCTCGTTGACCACTATAATGATTTAGGGAAAACAAATTTATATAGATCAATCTAGGTTTCTCTACCTTCCTTTGGAAACTAAAAATAAAGAAAACATAGTAGGAGCTAGTCTTATCAATTGTCATGCCTACACATTTAGTTATCTTTATGTAGTATGTTTTCCATAGACTTAATTAGGGAATGATCAGTGATGTCTAGGGTTTCAGTTCCACTTGGTTACGAATTATAAAATGTAAATGCTCTTGCATATTCTAAAGTTCTCCTTTTGTAGATAAAAATATACAAAACCGATTGATCGGTGAAATCTTTGACGAATACGAATTGTTATAGGCTTTTAGCATAATACTAGCTTCTTTTAGATGAAACATTTTATAACTGATTGAATGTTGATTAATCATGAAATTTTACTATACCAAAATGACGAAAGTGAAATAGAATATATGACACGTAGGAGGATGTTGTACCAATAAATATGAGGGACACGAGTCACATGGTGGCTATTGAACTTATGGTAGCTAAGCTTCCATAGTACTATCTTGATATTAAGTTATTGTACTATTTTATCTCATATATGCAATGTATATATAATTTTTAAATATTTCTGACGTACTAATTGATTGTGACTATTTCACAAAACCACACATAACATTTAACTTTGGAAGACTAAAAGAAAAGTCCTCGTTTGAGCTCTATTCTCTTGTAAATTTTTAATTAGTACGTTATTCCAATCAAATCAACCGAAAATGACATAAATATAACAACATCGACGGCCAACGTACAATTGATGCCATTGATGATATAATGAATGCTATAGAAGCAATCTAAATGGTTGTAAACTTTAGTTATTTCTACAATTGGGTATCGATTTACAGTTTTTGGAAAACATACAAATGAACACTTCCAAAATCCCTATATTTAAATTTTAACTGATAACTTTTCATTTTAAAACTTTTTTTAAAACAAAATCTTTAAGTCCAGATTTTAATATTAACTCAAAGATAAATTGATATATATATAATTCAACAATAAGTAAGCCAATACTATGTAGTAAATTTGAATTTCTTCCTCATTATCATGACCATATTAGGCCACCACAAGCCCAATTTAATTAGTCCATATCATATTAAGCCACCATAAGCCCAATAACTTACAGTGAAGCCCATTTAGTACTGAGCCCGTTTCGTACTTGTAAAGTAGTTAAGTAGCGAATAAAATATTGCCACGTATTCGTTTCAAGCAAATTTGACTAACTTATTTTTCAGTTTTGGAAAATTTCGATTCGGTTACCATATCAAATTTGGGCGGGCGAGGAATAAACCAAACCGGTCGAGAGTTCACGAGCCACGGAGAGATCTTGGCGATGAGTTGTCGGAGATTCTTCTCGATCCCGGTCCTTTTGGTGATTCTAGTGATGGGTTTCGTGTATTACGTCACACTGTTTGTTTTCATCGATGATTGGGTTGGTTTACAAAGCTCAGCTGGGAAATTAAACGCCTTACTCTTCAGCTTATTGGCGTCTCTCTGTCTCTTCTCGCTCTCAATTTGCGTTCTTGTAGATCCAGGTCGTGTTCCTGCATCTTATGCTCCTGATGTTGAGGACTCTGGCTGGTCCAATAGTAACGTAAGCTCTCCCCTGTGTACCTCTGAATTTGAAGCATTTGGGGATTTATGTTTTGTTGCTCTTTTGAACTAGTAGTAGTGATGAATCTGTGAATCTTTGGGGTTTGCTAGTTCTTAGAATTTCACTGATTAAGAAAGATTGATCCTTTTGCCTTGATCGATCGGTAACAGATTCTTATAGTGTCATTGAAGAAGTTTAGTCTTTTGAATTTCATAATAGGTGAAAGTCGATGGCTTTTTTCTTTGGTGTTACAAAAGGAGGTTTGATGTTGGTGTTAAGCTTAGGAAGAATGGCTTTATCGTTGATGCTGTTTGATATAAAGTAGCTGCTTAAATTTTGAAGTCCTTAAGTTTCTGAATTTGCTTCCTCCTGGAATATTTGAGATTGCAAGTAGGCATAGCATTATGTTGTTCTGATTTGATTTTCCCGGGGTTTGATTTTACTGATAGGTTACAGAAACAAGGAAATGTGATAAGTGCTTTGCATATAAGCCTCTTCGGACTCACCATTGCCGGGTTTGCAGAAGATGCGTCTTGAAGATGGTAGGTAAATTTTAGCAATTTTGAGTCAAAGCATTGTCTGAATCTTGTGTATCGAGATTTACTGGTTAATGGTTCTTTATGAACATATGTGGCAGGACCATCATTGCCTCTGGATAAATAACTGTGTTGGTTATGCAAACTATAAGGCTTTCTTCATTCTTATGTTTTATGCAACCGTGGCTTCCATCTACTCTACAGTACGTAAATCCCAATTCTCAATTTCTGAATCTTCTTTTTTTTTTGGTGAGACTCTCCTCTTATGTGTATGAATGTTATTTTAGGTGTTGCTGGTTTGCTGTGCATTCAAGAACGGAGATTCCTATGCGGGAAATGTTCCGCTCAAAACTTTCATTGTAAGTTTGGTTTACTGGAAAGTCTTCCTTTACTCTTAACCTTTAGCATCTAAGCGATTTTCATAAATCTCAAAAGATGGGCTGCACTCTCTCAAAAACTTTTCTACTTGTCTATAGCTTCAAGCAGATTTGTCTAGGAATCACATCCTTTTCTGAAGAATATGAAACTTAGAGATGAGTAAGTTATCGGTAAAGAAAGCAACTTACAGTTATCGGTATTTTGTTGACGGTATAGGTTTCTTGTGGGATCTTCATGATCGGACTAAGCATAACACTTGGGACTCTCCTTTGTTGGCATATCTACCTCATCACACACAATATGACCACCATTGAGGTATGCATTCTATTTTCCCTCTACAGTCTCCAAGATAGGACGTATAAAGTCTTTTTTT